CAGCAACAACATCAATCCACTGACGAAGAACAAATTAAAATATACCAAGCAAGAAAAACTTGTGTTTTCCAGTCTAGCCTGTTGGGGCACCGTGCCCTGTCTCCAATGTCCACCCTCATCATTCCCTGGGGATCTTTCTACTCCCCTCCCCTGCTCAGAACTCTAAATATTTATTGTGGTCAGTGAACTCTTCCCCAGTGATAAGGAGTTGGCTCGCCGGGAGGGAGGGTAAAGGCCAGCCCGCCCAACCGAGAGGACCAGGTGGCCATGGTGAGAACCGCAAAGCAAGTCTTTCTGGAAAAGAACGTGCTTGCTCCAAAAATCTCTCTGTGAGTCACAGCAATTGGATCGGAACCCGGTCTGATCCCAGCCCGCAACAGAGGAAATTTGCTCATCTTTCGTGACCTAGAAGCAATATTTGGAAGGTCCCTTGCCTTCCGAGATAAAGGCACAATTCAAACACCAAAACCAATTGCCACTATCCCCCTCCCATTTCACCTCTAACAAAAGATGGACTGAATTTCAACAACCTGGGGGTCAGGACTCTGACAGGGGTCCTTTGTGGTTTCCATGTTCAAACCTGCTATTTTCAGCCGTCAGAGTTCACTTTATTAGCCTATAATCACAGCCCCCCCAACAATAATTATGAACCCCTTTATGATAAATCAATATAGACACAAAATGATGCGCAGAGACCTTGAGTGACTGGGGTTTGTGCTAAGAATACGTAGACGTTAGATCACAGAATTGAAACCGCAGGAATTGGGCAGAAGCTAAACTTGGCACGTACTACAAGAAGAAAGGAGTCGAGAGGCGCAAAGAGAGCAAGACTATATGGAACTCTGAACTAACCTTGCTACTCTCAGGTCAATTCCAATTCATGGAAGTCTGGCCGAGTTTCTGACACGGCCACGCTTAAAGAAACAGAACGGCCTGTTTGAGGCGCTGGCCGCTGGCTGGTGACCTTGCCTCACCCAATGTGCATGACCACTATGCCACCAGGGGTCCTAAGAATACACAACAGTAAGTTAAAAAATATGTATACGACTAGCAGTACTAATATCTATATGTCTAGAGAGAGGCACAGCTTGCCATCTATACCTATTACCAGTAGGGTTCCGGCTCCCAGCGAGTGCCCCGTCCAGGTCCACCCCCCCACCCCCCCAGCAGTGTTGTGGTCCCTCTAGCCCTAGCCCTTCCCCTAGGATTTCGCTGGGAAAGCTAGTGCCCAACCACCCTCCAGCCCTGAGCTGGCCTCTTCCGGCTTCTTGTTCCCAGACTCAGCGCCTCCGACAGGTCTTTCTATCCACATGCTGATACCTTTGTCTAATCAACGGCTGTGTGGTTTTGTAGCAATGTTTTTCCAATCACCCTCATATTTATAGAATTTGTTGGTTTTTAACGACAAGTTCCATTGGCCTTTCATCACGTTCCATACAGCTCAATAGCGCAACCTAGAAGTTTTATTCGTTTATTTCCTTTTTTATGAATCGTTTTATTGGGCGCTCTCACAGATGTCCCAACTTTCCATAATTCAAAGGGATCGAGCATCATTGTACAACTGCTACAACAATCAGTTTCAGAGTTTCTTCTCCTTGAACACTTTAATATCAGCTCCCCTTTACCGCCTCCCTCCCCCACCCTCCCCCACAGAAACCCTGCTTATTGTTATATATTAATATTATTATTCTATTATATATATTTATAGCCATATCTTACCCCATCCAATATATCCATTCACCTACAATTAAATTATTCATGCCCCTCGAGTGGGGTTGTACAGTCATTATTGCTATCGGCTCCCCCTTCCCGTATCCACAGGGAATCATTACTCCAGTTGCTGTTCCTGAAGGGTCATCCATCCTGGCATTCCTGCATCAAATGATCTTAATTATACAAATGAACATACATAAGTCTAACAATATTAATGAGGTAAGACATAAGCCTTCACAGTAAGGGGGAGGAAATATTAAAGAACCAGAGGGTAGGGATGTGTTTCACCATGGCTCTACCACACCCTGGATATATCATCCCTTCTGTGTGACCCTTCTAGGAGGACTGTCCAACTATCTTACAGGTGGAGTTTGGGTCTCCACTACATCCACAACCCTTCGCATCGATTTGGTTCCTTGTTTTTGAACTTCTGACACCTCTTCCCGTCATTTACACCGCATGACCACAAAGACTGGTGTGCTTCCTCCATGTGGGCTTTTTTGCTTCCCTGATAGATGGCTGCTTGTTTATATTCAAGCTTTTAAGACCCTCAGACGCTATATCTTTTGATAGTCGGGCATTATAAACTTTCTTCACCATATTTGTTTATGCACACATTTGTCTTCAGCAATCATGTCGGGAAGGTGAGCATCACATAATGCCAAGTTAATAGAACAAGTGTTCTTCCCTTGAGGGAGTACTTGAGTGGAGGCCATCTGCTACCTTAATACTTAACATATAAATATATGTACATAGATCTATTTCCTTAGCATCATATATAAATATATTTACATATGTACATGCCTGAATTTTAGACCTCTATAAATGCCCTTTGCCTCCTAGTTCTTTCCTCTATTTCCTTTTACTTTCCTCTTGTCCCATTATCATATTCGGCCTTCATTCTGCTTCAGTAATTCCTCTTGGTTACATTACCCTTGATTAAGCCCTAGCAGGCATCTTTCGCCCTCCTCGCCATTGATTTTAGATCACTTGTTGCTCCTTTGTCCCTGGTTTGTTGGCACCCCTTTTCCTTTCCCTGGTCCCCCTCTCCCGTGTCCCCCGGAAACGCTGGTCCTGTTGTTTTTCTCCTCTGGATTGATTAGACCACATTTTGTTAATCAAGTCTTGGGAGCATCCTGGCCCAGCCAAGTTGACATTAACTCCAATTATCACACTCATCCTACAAATCTAAGACTCCAGTAACTTGTCCAAAGTTACGCTGCAGAAACTCGGAGCCAGGATTCCTCCTGGCGGTATGCCCCCCCCCTTCCCTTTTGGAACCTTGAGGAACCTCAAAAGCACCCAACCAGCGGTCATCACTTTTGAGGAGCCCCTGACTCCCCCAACCTGAGCCCTTTAGATGACCCCTTACCACCCTCATCCGACCGATGAGGACACTGGGGTCCAGAGCAGCGTGCCAAGATGACACACAGGTGACAGGGCAGGGCATGAGGCCAATCTGAATGCAGAGGCCAAGTGGACACATTGCACTATGGGGCAGATGGCAGGAAGCAAGGGAACATCACCGTGTCCTCACCAGGTGAACAGGCTGTCCCTCTGCTGCCCAAGGCCAATCACACACTGACACTGGAGCTCCCATGAGCTGCATTTCCCTAGAGCTCCTTGCAGGCACCAGGCTGAGTGAGGGCGCAGACTACTGCCAAGCAGACGGTTGGTGGCTCAATGCTCAGAGTCTTCATTGTCCCAGAATGGGGGACAGGTGTGCCAAAGTTCACATGGCAAGTGAGAGATCACCCGGGGCTTCCAGGGGAACTCAGGGAAGAGGAGCAGGTGCTTTGAAAGCCAGGCACTCCCCAGATGTGGAGGTGGGGAGCCCTCTCTGGCCCCTGCTGGGCATTCCACTCTGTTGGCATGACTCTGCCTCTGCTCATTAATCATTACCTGATCTGGGAGATAGCAAGTGGAGCTGAGTGAGCCCTGTCTTTCCCAATCCTTCTGGGCTTGATAAGCCCTGAGCTGCCCCCAGGTCCCCGGAGCTTGGGCTGTGACGGAGCCACCCAGAGCTGCTGTGCCGTGTAAGTAACGCTTCCCTGGGGCCCTCCCTGCCTCCATGTGGGGGCCACAGTGAAGGCCCAAGAAAACATATATGGTTATTGAGTCCATTCTGATCTGTGGAGACCCCATGGGACAGGGTGGAACTGCCCCTGTGGGTTTCTGTGCATGTAGTTTTTTGGGGGAGTAGAGAGCCTTGTCCTTCTGCAGAGCAGCTGGTGGTTTCGAACTGCTGACCTTGTGTTAGCAGTCCAATATATCACTCATGACTCCACCAGGGCTCCTGCTGTGCTCAGGATGGAGAGGGTTCCTAGGACACCGGACTCTGGGTGCTGAGACCAGGGGAGCTTCGGATAAACCAGACCACACCAGTCACCGTCCCCACAGACACTAACTAAGCGCCCAAAGTCCCCAACACTTGGCCCTGCGTTAGGAAGCCATTGTGGGGGCAGGGTTAGACTGTGGACAGAAGAGGTCCAATGTGTGCTTGTGGGGGACCCTTCCAATGACCAAGGGCAGGGGAGGGGAGAGAGAGCCGGTCAGAGTCCACTGAGGGGCAACGGTCAGCAGCCTATGCCGAGGGGCATTGCGGACCCACTCTCACTTCCCGTGGTTGCAGCAAAATCACGGAGAAGACCTTTCCGGTGAGCTCAGTGTCTTTTTTTAAAATGTTAGATTTTATATTTAAGTGGTTGCAAAATCAACCCCACAAAGACTCATGACGATGGCATGCCACGTATGACCTTCGAATCCCGGTGTCGATCAATCCTTCGGGGACTCGGCGAAGCAGGTTAATGCCCGTCCCTGTTGTGGCTGCGTGCCTGCTCCAACCCCCTGGTGAAGGCGCTCTGGTTAAAGTTCTCTGACTAACGGAGCCAGCGCTCCCTGTCTGGCCCTCTCGGAGGAAAGCGCGCTGACCGTGGGCACCGAGGGCTGAGCAGAGGAGGGGCTGAGAGGGGGAGCCAGGAGCACGGGGCTCTGCTGAGACCTGGTGGCGGAGAGGTGTCGGGGTGAGAAGAACCACTGGAGGAGGCGGGGGTGAACGTGGGGCCCATCCGTCCTTTGTCTCTTTCTGAGCAGGGCAGGCTCCTGGTGACGAAAGCGCCGTTCCCCAGAGAGTGTCACAGTCTCAGAAAACCCACAGGATGACCATGGACTCGATGACGGGGACCGTGGTTCTTGTTTGGAATGGGTCTTGTGCTGAGCGGGAGGACCTGCCTGCTGCCGTGGACTCCGGCTGGTTGGGCGGCCCTGCTTCTGCCCCTTCAGAGCCTCTGTGGCCTCTGCTCTGTGATGCGAACAGAGCACAGAGGGTTCAGAGCTTGGAGCCGGGGGCGCAAATCCACACTCGGTGGGTTCAGAAGCAGCGTCATGAGTTGTGCCGCAGTCACCACATAGGGGTGCAGTGCTGGCTCCTGGATGGTCCCCAGAGGCCCGCTCTGCCAGAGTGCTTGTGCCACTTCCCCTCTCTGGGGACCTGCCTGGCCCTGCTCTCAGGAGGTAAGGCGTATCTGCTCCATGGGAGACTTCCCAAGCACGCTCTGTTCTTCCACAGGCCCAAGAGCCGAGAAGATGCAGCTCGCTGTCCGCCTGCTCCTGCTCTTGGCTACACTGCTCGCCCTTTCTCGGGGTCAGCCGCACCCCGAGCACCCTGAAAGCAGTGGTACCAACAGCTCCCATGAGAAGGTTCCGGGCACAGGGGATGGCTCCACCCACCCCAGCATCGTCGCCAGCAACACAGGCTTTGCCTTACGCTTCTACCAACTGATGGCCGCCGAGTTTCCAGGCAAGAATATTTTCTTCTCCCCGCTGAGCATCTCCACTTCCCTGGTCATGCTGGCTCTGGGCGCCCAGGCACAGACCCAGAGGCAGATCTTCCAGGGCCTGGGCCTCAACCTCACGGAGATGCCTGAGGCTGAGATCCACTCTAGCTTCCAGCATCTGATGAACACAGTTAACCTGGCCAAGGAGAAGATGGAGGCACACGTGGGCAATGCCCTGTTCCTGCAGGAGAGGATGAGCCTCCTTCCAAAGTTTCAGAACGACACCAGGGCCTTCTACCAGGCCCAACTCTTCCTCACCAACTTCCAGGACTCCGTGGGCGCGACTCAGCTCATCAACGAGCACGTCAAGAAGGAAACCCGGGGCATGATTTCAGACTTGGTCAGCGAGCTCAGCACAGACACCGTAATGGTGCTAGTGAATTTCATCTACTTTAAAGGTAAGAGGGGATGTGTATAGTGGGGTCTAAATTCCTTTGCCCCTCGCTATGGATGCGTTGACAGATGCGTTAAAACAGGGACGTGGGTGGATGGAGTCTGATAGGGCTCAGAAACTCTCAGAAGAGGTGAAATTGGAGTGTCACGTATTCCTGATTGTATTGGGTTGAGATGTTCGTTCCTTCCTATCCACGGGAAAAGGAATGAATAAACAAATGAATGAACAAATGAACGCACGGTCCAGTGCCTGTCTCTCTGTGCTCAACAGCGGAATGTGGTTAAAGGAAAAGCCCCCTGTGAAGCTGGCCTCCCTGAACTTCATGGACTGAAGTTCACCGCTCCCACCTCTACTGGCTACAGGGTCTCCCCCCTGTACCCTCCGAAACAACCAAGATTATCTTCCTTCTGTAGCTTCTGTCCCCACTCCTCTGTGTAATGTGATAAGTGTCATCAAGCCAAGGGCCGATTAGTCAACCAGCCACCGTCTTCTTGCCTCCCGAGGACCTTGTGCCTCTGCATGTGGGCTCCCACACTCAGCCACACCCATCTTCCTTCAGGAGAGCAGGCCATCCCCCCTACTCACCCTCTGCCATCTTCTTTTTCCTCAGAGTGTCTGACCCAACCATTCTCTTCTTTGCAAGATCACCCTTTTTGCTCGGTTGCAATGTTCCTCTTCACACACCGGCCGACATTCTGTGCTAGAGGGAGAATGGGTAGGAAAGAGGGAACCGATGACAAGGAACTATATGTGACCTCCTCCCTGGGGGACGGACAACAGAAAAGTGGGTGAAGGGAGACGTCGGACAGGGCAAGATATGACAAAATAACAATTTATAAACTATCAAGGGCTCATGAGGGAGGGGGCAGCGGGGAGGGAGGGGAAAAGTGAGGACCTAATGCCGGGGGCTTAAGTGGAGAGCAAATGTTTTGAGAATGATGAGGGCAATGAATGGACAAATGCGCTTTACACAATTGATGTGTGTATGGATTGTGATAAGAGTTGTATGAGCCCCTAATCAAATGATTAAAAAAAAAAAAAAGAAAGCCTAAAAATATAAATAAATAATAAAACCAGAGGGATCCGGTCCGCGCCGGAAGAGGCAGTAACGCTGAGACCTGGAATGGCCTTAGGGTGACTCCGAAGGCCAGGAGTCCTTCCTGGCGGGGGGCTCACGTCACAGTCCCCAAGGCCCTCCTCCTTCTCTTGCTCTCTTCTCAGCGCTGTGGGAGAAACCGTTCCCCGCATACAGGACCAGACCCCAGGACTTCTATGTGGACGAGCAGACCACCGTCACGGTGCCCATGATGGTCCAGAGTGAGCACCACCACTGGTACCTTCACGACCGGCATCTGCCCTGCTCGGTGCTGCGGATGGACTATGAAGGGGACGCCTCGGCCTTCTTCATTCTCCCCGACTTCGGGGCAATGCAGCTGGTGGAAGAAGCTCTGACCCCAGAGTTGCTCGCGCGGTGGAACAACTTGCTCAGCAAAAGGTAATCGTGGAAAGAGAGGATGCCAATGGACGGTCCCCTCTCTCCTTCTAAATGAAAGTCAGTGTCCCTAAAGAGCATGCCATCGCTTGCTGATGAAAGGACCCCCCCTTGCTCTGACACTCGCCATGGGTTCCCTGTGCAGGCGGGAATCTGTCTTCCCAAATGTGAGTTGCTCTCATCAGGCTACTTTGGCAAGAGAAGGGGATTAAGAGTAGATACAATCCTGGACCCTTGACCTTGGTCCTCCACTGCACACACACACACTTGAGTTAGACGATGCTTCCTTTCTGAGCATCTCCTTCCGTACTACACCTGGGGGAATTCAGGTCACATGGCTGGCTGAGCTGCCATAGACAGTTCCATCCACACACCCAAAGAAGGGGCAAAGAAGTTTGACATCAGCCTGAGGCTTTGAGTGCAAAAAGCAGCCTCTCCAGCCAGGTCAAAGACAAAGACCCCAGCCCTAGGCCACATGGGAACGGTCAGTGCACATCACTCGCACGGTTGAGGAAATGCAAGGGAAGCAACCAGTGGGCGTGAGGGAAACCCACAGGCACCAAGAGACAAATGGATAATGGCCAACGAGGGAGACTCAGAGCTGTCCGGGCAAATGGTCCCGTCCCAGAAACAACCCCTGATGAGGATGAGCTCGTAAGGGAAGGGGAGTCCTGTGTAAGACCTAGAGCTGAGGGCCCAAGAAGCCTGGGCTCATGACCCTGTGAGCGCTCCTGTGAGAGGGCAGACTGAGGAGTGGTGCTTGTGGCACAGAAGTCAGGTGGCGCCAGCAGAGAGGCAGTCGGGTGAGCAGACATTGCTGGGATCTCCACATGTTCCTGACTCCAATGGCTTCATTGTGTGCACCTTTCAGGGGTTATTTCTACAAGAAGGTAGAGTTGCGGCTCCCCAAGTTTTCCATTTCTGGCTCCTATGAGCTGGATCAGCTTTTGCCCAAGCTGGGCTTCACCGACCTCTTCTCAGAGAGAGCCAACTTCTCCGGCATCACCAACATGCTGAACCTCAAGATGTCCAAAGTAAGTGATCATGGTGGCGGCTCTTCTCCAACCCCTGAGACCCTGGTGAGGAGCTGCTGGGTGGTGGGAGCTCCCCCTGACCCTGGGGAGCCTCCGACCCCGAGTGCATCCAATTGCCCACAAGCATGAGCTGGGTGCGGTGCTCGGTGTTGGTGGCCCAATGTCCCCCAAGGCTCTCCCAAGTCAAACTGAGAACAGGACCGCCAGAGATGGTGCCCACCAAGAGAGATCAAGACAGTGGGCCAATCAGAGGAAGCTTGCAGACAAGGCTGGGCTGGGGTGTGTATCAGGAAGGGCTTGCTAGCTTAGAAGAAGGCATCTGTGGACTCTGGTTCTGTCTCTTAAGTCATCTGGGATGTTCCTTATCTATAAAATAAGGAGCCTCACTGGCTGAGCGGTTACAAGTTGGGCCGCTAACCACAAGGTCAGCAGTTCAAAACCACCAGCCTCTCCAAGGGAGAAAGATGGGACTTTCTACTCCCATGAAGAGTTAGTTTCAGAAACCCCCAGGGGGCAGTTCTACCCTATCCTAGATGGTCACTGTGAGTTGGCACTGACTTGGTGGCAAGGAGTCCAAGCGTGCTGAGGTTTTGTCTGTACAGTAGACATTTGACTATGACCCCACTCAGCATGCTTACAAACAGGATGGCGATGCAGAGCCCTAGGCACATAGTAGGTGTTTAACTCACGGTGGCTGCCATGACAGTTCCCTAAGCAAAGCTCATCCGTCCCAACCACCCACCCAGGGCGGAACATCCCACTGCCACCTCCCCAAGTGGCTGCGGGCAGTACATTGAGCTCCAGAACTCTCCGTTCCTTCTGGCCGTCCCCAGAGCCCTCTCGTGCCCTTGGGTACTAATGCCTGTGGGTCCCCTCCTCCCCTCTCCAGAGTTTCCACAAGGCCACCCTGGACGTGGATGAGGTCGGCACGAAGGCGGCGGCAGGCTCAGCAGGCTCGTTCGCCCTGAAAAGCGCCCCCATGAAACCGCTTGTCCTGAGCTTCAACCGGCCCTTCCTCTTGGTCGTTTTCCTTGACACAACCCAGGACATCCTCTTTTGGGGCAGAGTGGCCAACCCCACGGAACCATAGCCCCCCACGGCCCGAGACTGGCTGCGCTGCTCCCAGGAGGAGGCCGAGCAGGGCGGTGCTGGAGGGAGAGAGAGGCCCGTGTGGATGACAAGAAGACCTGGGCGGAAACCCAGCTCCGCAGGGCGAGTCCCTCGGCAGAGCCTCGCAGCTCTGGTGGCGTGTGCCCACCCCTGGCTGTGCAGAATAAATGGAAGGGTGTGGCAGAGAGGACTTTGGCTCGAGGTACCTAGTAGGCACATGAGTCCCCTTCCCTGCCTTCTGGGGTTCGCCCATCGTCCCTGACACCTGGCCCTGGATACACAGATGTGGGGAGCCACTGGGTGCCCACAGCAGGGTGCCTGGCCCAGTGCTTGTCTGAGGCATGGGAGGCAGGGGAGGCCCAGCTGTGAGCTGTAACCAACGCTGCATTACCCCACAAGCAAGATAAGCACAGGCTGGTTTGTGCTTCTGTATAAGTCGGCAGTGAACTGTTGCACATGGCCTCACCACATCGGGGCTCTGTTTCTGAGTCTGCCTGGCATCTGTCTCTTTCTCAGCCCCACAGCCCCTGCCCACAGACTCAATGCCTCTTTTCTGATTGGCAGTCCCTCACAGAGATGGGGGACCCAGTTCACCTGGCGAGCCCAAGCTCACTGCCGTGGGAAAGCCCTCCTTCTCTGGCTGAGTGGCCCTGTATCCCGGTCACTGTGGAGTGTTGGATGCTGTCTAGTTCAGTAGTGTGTGCAGCCAGTGGACAGAGCAGGATGGTGCCCGAAGAGGTCTCGGCAGGGGAAGAGTCTAGCCAAGGTTCCAGGCAGGCCACCGTGAGGCAGGCTCCAGGTCTGGGTGGCACAGGTACACCCAGGGGCTTGGGGCATGGGCTCTGTAGTGTAGAGGGCTGTGGTCAAGGATGAGCACCAAACAGGAAGCCCCCCGTTGTAGCCACAGGTCTGGACTCACCACCCTGCAGCTGCCCTGCTCCAGAACCTCGGACAAGCCCCAACCCCTCCTGGGCCTCCAGTTCCCCAGCTGGGTAAGATAAGGGGGGTCCAGAGGGCTTCTTGGACCACAAACCATCTGGAATCTGAGAGGCGAATTCTCCCAGCAAGGTATGCTCTGCCCACAGGGACCCCACCCACCCCAGCGTCCTCCACCACAGAAGGAGCCAGGTAGGCAAAGCCTGGCTAGCTTTGTCCTACACCCTAGGGACTTGCTGTGTGGAAGCCACTGATGATCAGTGAGGCGCTGAGAGGCTGGGCCTCGGTGGACCTCTGGCTGCTGGGAGAGTTCAGGACTGGACTGCCTGCCCAATCCAACTCCTGTAAAGAGTTACAGTCTCAGAAACCCCCAGGGACAGACATACTCATTCCTCTAGGGTCACTGTGAGTCAGAACAGACTGTGAATGTATCCAAGGATGGGCACCGTGGCCGTCCCAATGGCTCAAAGGTACCCCGAGGATGGCTCGGGGCAGGCAGTGCATCAGTCTGCTTGTGCTCAGGGCCACAGAGAATACGAGCCGTCTTGACTGCCCCTAACGACAGCACCCACGGATATCAGCCACACAAAGTCTCCTGTTTTTCCAGGGTGCGCCCCGGGGTCCCACCTCCAAGACCTGGCTCCTATTGTCCCTCACCCCCGAAACACAGAGGAGAACCTGGTTTCTAGCAAATTCACACGCCGACTCCTCCTCCCTCTCCAAGGTAGCCTGGCGTCCGGCACAGTCCACTGGTTGTCCTTGCTGCCCCTGTCTGTGCCCCTCTCAGCTCCCTGGGTGGAGTAAAGGGTTTGCACATGAGTCAAGCTATGTGATCTGCAAGGTCAGCAGTTCAAAACCACCAGCCACTCCTCAGGAGAAAGATGATGCTTTCTATGCCTGCTAACAGTTGCGATCTAGGAAACGCCCAGGGCCAGTTTTACCCTGCCCTATAGTGTCACGATGAGTCGGCATCAACTTGAGGGCAGTGAGTTTGGTTTTTGGTTTGCCAACCTAAAGGCTGCCGGTTTGAGTCCCCCAACCCCATCAGATGTGCTGCAGGAGGCAGGGCCCTGCTTGGGGGTGGGGGTTGCAGGCACGGGACACAGCCCCCGGGAACCGTGGTGCCTGAGCTGGGTCACACACTACTGGGTTTGTGTTAGTCTGGGTGGATTAGAGAAACAAATCCAGAGACACTCATATGTATATAAGAAAGAGCCTTATATAAAAGAGCAATTGTATATTGAGAAACATCCAGCCCAGTCCAGATCAAGTTCATAAGTCCAATATCAGCCCAGATGTCCAATCCTAGTCCATAAATTCCTCTTTAGACTCACACAGCCATGTAATAATGCTGAATGCAGGACAATCACAGGCCAGCGGGTGGAAACTCGTATGGTGGTGGTGGTGGTGGTGGAAGGATCTCAGCGCTGGAGTGGGTCTCCACATGGCTCCTCCAGCTCCAGGACTCTGGCTCCATCAGCATAGCTCCATGAAGCTTGTCCACAGGAATGTTTCGCAGGGAATGTGTGTATCTGGCCTCCAGTGAGCTCCTTATCTCCGTTGCACCTCCAAGTGAGGTCATCAAGTTGCGACCTGATTGACAGGCTAAACTCCACCACTTCACTCTTAATCGTCTCAAGTTGACTCCCGATTATGTAATGACCACAGTTTGTATCATCAGCTCCCGATGCAGCCCTGGGCTAATGTTTAACCCCACTGCTCCAAGTTTAACATACTCTTCTGGAGCGTTAAGAAAAGAGAGAGATGAAGAGAGAGGGAGGGAGGGAGATCTTGTATTCCCAGTGCCGCTCCTGAGCCTCGCACTCACCTCCCCACACCCTGCCATTCACTGTGGGCTCTCTCCTCTGAGGGAACCTTGGCACATGCCATTGGGAAGGCCTCCTCCTAGAAGATTGATCGCCATCTGTATTAGTCTGGGTACTTTGGAGAAACAAATCCACAGCAACTCATGTATAAGAGAGAGTTTTATGCAAAGAAAATGTGCATCACGAAAACATCCCAACCCAATACTGCCCAAGCCCACAAGTCCAACATTAACCCATACCCAACACCAGTCCATAAAGTCCTTCACCTCATAAAACAGAGGCAATAATGCCAACTGCAGGAGGAAAGCTGAGTCAGTGAACGTGTAAGCATCTCAGCACTGGCAGGGGTCTCCACATGGCTGCTCCAGCACCCAGGGCTGCACTGGGATAGATCCATGCGGCTTCTCCTTGGGGATGTCTTGTAGGAAGTCAATCTTGCAAGCTGAAGCAGGGAACTGCTAAGGCAGCTGCACCCGGTGCAACCATCACAAAGCAAGAGACCCGAGAACTAGAAAGGCGAGGATTCACCACCCATTTATCCCTCCGCCTTTCAACCAGCACCACATGTGATTATCGGCCAGGCTGGCACAATTAACTAACTCACCATCTTTCAGCGTGATTTCTGGAGCTACCGGCCAGCTGGTAGAGAAAAGCCGCGTGTGCTTTGCAATGAGAGGGCAGAAGGGTCACTGGAGGGACACAAGGGGCAGTGACGAGGACTCAGAGTCCAGTGGTAGGGGTTGTGTTTGCAAGCCTTCAGTAAGCACGGTGCAGAGAAATGTATTGTGGGCAAATCCATGTGTTCATTCATCATTCATTCTTCCAACAAAGAGTCACAACCTGGGCTGTCCCTGGAATTGGTGTTAGTTGCTGCAACGTTGGCCCCACCTTAAGGTGACATTTTGCCCAGTCCTGCACCGTTTTCACGTTTGGGCCCATGGTGGCCCTTCTGTCGTCCCACCCCATGGGGAGGTCCCTCACCTATATTGGCCCTCCATTTTACCAAGCACGATGCCCTTCAACAACACGGTGGCCCTCAGATGCACGCACCCCAAGCAAGGGAGCCAAAGTCCCAGAGGATATTCAGTTATCCAGAAGGTTTTCCATGGGGAATGCCTGGCCTTTCTGCCTACTCTATCCTCGTTGGCTGAAAGCTCTGCCAAAACCTGCCCATCACGGGTGCCCCTGCTGGTATTGGAAACCCCAGTGCATGACTTCTAGGTCGCTACAGCATGCCGGCCACCACGGCACTGCCCGGTGACAGATGCTCAAAGGCCTAGGGATCTTCTCCCGAGTGTAGGAAGCAGCACCTGATGGGCCAAGAAGACAGGTCCCCGCCTCCCAACAAGCAGTGACACCTGGGACAACTCAGGTTCCCTCCCTAGGCTCACTGTCCTCACCTGTGAGTTGTGCTCTCCCCTTTGGCAGGAAGCTCAGGGCACCAGGAGCAACAGAAAGACGTGAGACCACTGCCAGGGTCCCTTGGATGGATGACTGCTGACCTGGCGGAGAGGGTGAGGGAGGAAGGAGTCACGTCTGTCCCTGACTTCCTGGGAAGACAAGAGGGGAGCCAGGAGCAGGGACAGCTCTTCTCCCACCTCAGCCCCTGCTCTCCCGGCACTCACGACCAGCAGGGGCCCAGTACAGTCTAGGCTTGACCAGGAGATCACAGAGCACCAGAGGGCACCTCCTGAGCTTTGGAGCCAGACACTCTGGGTCAAATCGTATTGCCGTCTCCTGCTGTCTAGTGGGTCCCTGACTTAGGGAGACCCGCGTACCGTAGGATGAAGCCTTGCCTTGGCCTGTGCCATGCCCCGTTGGGTGACACTGGGACCACAGCCACCCCCTGAGTCTTCACTGGATCTCTTTCCAGCAGTTGATCTCCTGGCTTTTCTGGCTAGTTCACTGTAGTCTGAGAGCTGCTCAGATCGGCTCAGCATCACAGCAGCATGCAGGCCTGCGAGGGCATGCTTTGCATGAAGAGCATCGGCCAGGAATCGAGCTGAGCGCTCCCCCATGGGAGGCAGGGCCCTACACAGAACCACCTCTGTTCCCTTGGTTGAGTATGGACTCAAACCTCCAGGGGTGGGGTGTGTGCCTCCTCCTTGTCCAGGAATGGGGTGTGGGCCTCCTCCTTGTCTGGGGGTGGGGCGTGGGTCTCCTCCTTGTCTGGGGGTAGGGGGTGGGTCTCCTCCTTGTCTGGGGGTGGGGGTGAGTCTCCTTTGTGCGTCTCGGTTTCTCTACCTGCAAGCAGAAGATGATAATACCTCACCTGTGAGCCCATGGAGAGACTCAAGGGCATTGTCCCTGAAGAGCTCCTTAACTGCTGCCTCCCAACCATCACCAACCAACAAACCACTGCCATCGAGTCGATTTGGGCCCGCAGGAACCTATGGGACACAGTGGGTTTCCAAGGCTGCA